CTTGGGTGTCTTAGGTGGTATCTCTATGGAAGTAGATTGTCCAGTCTTCTTTCTGAAGAGTGGCTGGTGAGTTTGTATATATATGTGTATATAGGGCTATAAGTCTTTGCAGGAACAGATTCCCTCATCCTTCTCCTGGGAAGCTGCTGGTAGATTTGAAAAGGCAATATTTTGGTTAGTATACAAATACTTTAACCACTGTGCTACAAGAACTCCTTCTAAGTTACACCAAAACTGAAAACCAAACTCACTGCCCTCGAGTTGGATCTGACTCATAGCAACTCCTTCTCAGGTTTCTGAGGTAGTATCACCACTGAAGTAGATTGCCCAATCTTCCTTCTGAGGAGTGGCGGTGGGTTTGAACTGCCAGCCTTCTGGTTAGCAGTCTAATGCCTTAGGCACAGTGCCACCAGAGCTTGAAGGTAGAAATAATAGGACCAGTCTTACAGAGCTTTTGTGATGATTACCTGAGTTAGCTCATAGAATGTTTATCTTTCATAAGAAATGCCTAGTAAATGTTAGTGGGATGATGAGAATAATAAATATTATTCTCTTTTAATTAATATTAAAGTAATAATGAATATTCCTCTTCTTTTAATATTATGATTATGAATAACTGTTTTTTTAAAAAACTGTGATAATCAATAGTATAACCTTGTATATTTTCCTCTTAGGCAAGGATGTCTCAGGCTCTCAGAGATTCCAACAGCTCTAAGTTCCAGGTCTCTGAGTTCATCCTGATGGGATTCCCAGGCATTCATGACTGGCAGCACTGGCTATCCATCCCCTTGGCTCTGCTCTACCTCTTTGCTCTTGTTGCCAATATCCTTATTCTCATCACCATCAACCAGGAGGCTACACTGAACCAGCCTATGTATCATTTTCTAGGCATCCTGGCTGTGGTGGATATGGGCTTGGCTACCACCATTATGCCTAAGATTTTGGCCATCTTGTGGTTCAATGCTAAGGTCATCAGTCTCCCTGAATGTTTTTTTCAGATGTATGTCATACATTGTTTTGTGGGAATGGAATCAGGCATCTTCCTCTGCATGGCTATTGACAGATATGTAGCTATTTGCCGACCTCTACGATATCCATCAACAATTATTGAATCTTTTGTGGTCAAAGCAACTGTATTCATGGTACTCAGAAATAGTCTGTTAACAATCCCAGTGCCAGTGTTGGCTTCTCAGAGATACTACTGCTCCCAGAATCAAATTGAGCATTGTCTGTGCTCTAATCTTGGGGTCACTAGATTATCTTGTGATGACAGAACAATCAGTAGCATCTACCAGCTATTTCTGGCTTGGACATTCATGGGCAGTGATTTGGGTATGATTATTTTATCATATGCTTTGATCCTTCACTCTGTGCTAAAATTGAACTCAGCAGAAGCTGCATCTAAGGCCCTGAGCACCTGTACTTCTCATCTCATTCTAATTCTTTTCTTCTACACAGTTGTTGTTGTCATTTCTATCACTCATAGTGCAATAGTGACAGCTCCTGTCTTCCCAGTTCTACTTAATGTGTTACACAATGTCATTCCTCCTGCCCTCAACCCCATGGTCTATGCACTTAAGACCAAGGACCTCAGGCAGGGCTTAGGCAAGGTACTTAGACTAGGCATCAGGAACAACTAATGTGAAGATGGCACTCATTCTTGTTAATTTCCACACTTATTTACCAGCTTATTCTCCAAAGATTGCCTAAAGGTAGAAGAAGTAAAAAAAGGACCAAACCAAAAGCAAAAGCACTGCCGTGGAGTTGGGTCCAACTCATAGCGACCCCTCTTTGAGTTTCTGTGGCATTATCACTATGGAAAGATTGCCCCACCTTCCTTCCGAGGAGTGGCTGGTGGGTTTGAACCGCCAGCCTTCTGGTTAGCAGTTGAGTGCCTTAGGCACTACACTATCAGAGAAATGAAAAAGTGTTAGAATTGGTTTTCATACTGCCAACACCATAGTTTCATTATCCTTAAAATACATCTCAGATGATTTTTAACTAAAATACCATGGTCTTTCTCAAGATAATATTTTAAAATTTTTCACTTACTCTTCTATCTCAGATAATCCAATATTTCATACATGTTTCATCTGCTGAAAGGCACCCTCTGTTCAATTTAAAATTTTTTGCAGAACTTCTCTAAGGTCTTCTTAATGTCAGGTCAAGTAATTCTGTGTTTTATTTTTGTGTATTATTCATTTATTTATTTTGTCATTAATTAAACGGGAATTGACATGAATGTAAAATTCATTTGATAAAACGGGAAAAAATGGAAATTGGAGCTAAGGGATATTACAAGAAATTATAGTCTAATTATACCACTATTTGACAGAAGTTCATTTTATGTTTTCTAAAAAATTACTGTAATTAGGATTCAAATTTTCCTTAACCTATCTTGACTACAAAAAGCAAGGACTCATAAATCAGAAAGTTTATGAAAGCTTAATCAAAACCAGTTATTCTGGGGAGGCCCAACATCCCTGCTACTTAGATGTGAGAGGTATTATTTTAAATGGTAGCTCTGCTGGCATAGTGCCTAAGGCATATTATTGCTAACCAGAAGGCTGGGGGTTCAAACCCAC